GGCATCACACCAGCGAAGAGGTCGCCCCTCAAAAGCCCCCTGGCTAGAAGCCTTTTACCAAGGCTCCGGGGCGGTCGTGACCCGTCGCACCCCCTCCTACACGCTGGTGTGCAGATTGCATCCCCGGGATGTCCGGGAGATGCGTCTGCCTGCGTGTCACCATAAACCAGAAGTCCCCTTCATCTAGATCATTGATAAAAAATATTGAAAAGTACTGGGCCCTGCAGCACCCCACTGGACACCTCCCTCCAATCTGATGAAACACCATTGACCACCACTCTTTGGGTGTGGTTCTCTAACTAGTTCCCTATCCACCAAACTGTCCTATAGTTTTCAAGTTTGCCCATCAGAATGTCATGGGGAACCTTATCAAAAGCTTTACTGAAATCCAGGTAAATCACACCAGCAGAGTTCCCACGATCCAGTAAGCTCGTCACACGATCAAAGAAGGAAACCAGGTTGGTCTGACAAGCTCTGCTGGGGACAAAACCTTGCTGACTTCCCTGGATCACTAAGTGGTCCTTCAGATGCTTACAGCTCGATCCCTTTAAAATCTGCTCTAATATCTTCCCAGCAACAGAAGTCAGACTGACCAGCCTATAGTTTCCCGGGTCATCTTTCTTCCCTTTATTAAAGATTGGGATAACATTGCTGACACTCTCAAAGAATTTTACAAGATTGGCTGCATTTTTAGGATCAAGCAGATGCAGGGGAAATCAGGAGATGCGGGTCAAAATGTGGCCATGCAGAGAACAGTGGAAAATTGAACAGTACAGCCGGGGGAAATAGGAGATCGAGGGCGGAACAACTGCTTTTGCGGAATCGGTTGGAGTCTTTCTTATTATTAACTTTGTTTTGCCAGAGTTTTTCTTTTCCTCATTTGGGCAAGACTTTCCTAAAATCTGCTTCCTTAGCAGAGGATTGGTAAGCAGCCAACATAACATGTATGCTAGGATTCCATGCATTGTGGCATCTTCCACAACTTGATCCTTCATTCACGTTTACTCTCTCACACACACATATATGGAATCTGATAAGGTTATGATTACTCTTCTTCAGTGGTTTGATAACAGATATGAGATCCTGGGACTCTGGTGAATGTAGTGGTCATCCTCCCTCACTAGCGCCACACCTAACTGGTCTAAGGCATAGTCTTTATTATACCTTAGAAACAGGGGGTGAAGATGTAAAACTGGAGTAGGCTTGCTGGGGATCTGTAGTCTTACTATTTTGGGGAGATGAAGATTTTTTGTTCTCCAGGATCAAGGTCAAGGGAAACTGTTTTTTTCCAGTTCGCAGCACCGATTGGTTGGTAATGTCAACAGAAATTCCCTTGTTCACAGGACAGAACAAGTACTGTGTTTTACTGTAGTCTGGGCACAACCCCTGTAACATATTGTGCAGGCTCCGTAGAACTGCTGTAACAGATCCTTCTTAGTCACTTTTTCATTTCTTTATAGGTCTATGATCAGGGTTGGTTCCACAAATGCAGAGTACAATTTTTTCCCTTCCTGTTGCTTTACAAAGGCCGCTCCTGTTTTGTAAATAATTTTTCATAAAATTCCAACTCTTTGGGTGTTAATGATGGTTTCACAGTCTCAAATGACATCACAAAATGTTTGTGTCTCACAGCTGTTGCTTCAACGTGGTTCTCCTGCAGCGCCAATAAAGCAGCCTAAAAAAGAGAAGAGAATGAATAATACTGAACCAATGAATTGTGTGTTTGTTGTTCACCATTGACGACTGCTGTATTTGTGCTCTTCTCTCCTATATGTTTATTTCAAACCGTTCCATGCCACCTTTCTACCCAAATCAGGGTCCACATGGTGATGAACATCAAAACAAACATTAAAAGTGTCCAAAAATACAAATATATACAAAATATTTAAAACAATTAAATGAAACAAACACAAATAAACACACAAACTGGCAGGAGGCCTAATAATAGTGAGGGAAGACCAAACAGACGACCATAAAGGGAGACAAATGAACCTCCCGGGGGGGGGGGGGGGGCCACGACTGAGAAGGCCCTTTCCTGGGTCCCCTCCCATCTAGCCTCAGATGGGCAGACATACTACGAAAGCTGAGAATGAAAAGAGCACTGGAGGGGAATAGATACAGTTGCCTCTCCTCCTCTTTTATCCCAAGAAGAGAATGAGAACCCTAACCTTTGCTGTTTTGTCCCACAGGAAAGAAATGAAGCCATGTTATTAAATTTTGCAGAAGCACCTGTAATGAAAGGATTTGGAAATCGCTGACATATCTTGCAGGGCATTTTAAGAAGAGGCAGAGAACACCAGAACTCTTGGTTTGGGAGCTGTAACAAGGTATATGTTGCCAGCATAAAACATTATCATGTTACATGTTAATTTGCTGTTCAGCCTCTCTCTATAAGTTTGAAGTTGAACATGGAAGGTATTCCATGCCAATGTATTTGAAAAAGTGTGCATGCACATGAAAACTCACACCTTGAATAAACCTTTGTTGGTCTTAAAGGTGCCACTGGACTCTAAATTTGTTCTTTTAGATGGCCATCTGACAGCAATGCTGCTCTGTGGATTTAGGCAGATCATGAGGGGGAGGGCAGGAAAGGTTGCATCTGTGCTTAGTTCTTGTGGCCTTTTCTTACACGCCCAGGGAAATGCTAATCGCCACTTTGGGGTCAGGAAGCAATTTTTCTCAAGGGCAGTTTGGCCAGGGATCCTGGAGGTTTTTTGCCCTCTTCTGGGCATGGAAAAGGGGTCACTGGGTGTACGGTGGGGGGAGGTATTTGTGAATTTCCTGCTTGGCCAGGGGGTTGAACTAGATGACCCTGGAGGTCCCTTCCAACTCTGTGATTTTATGATTCATACTTCCCTACAAAAAAAGTAGCAACATCACACTATTTGCAGTGCTGTTTCTCAAAGACGTGAGACACCTTAGGCTTACACCAGAAAAGAATGCATGATATTAAATTATGTGGATCTTAAATCCTAAATCATTGAGAATTTATGAGAAGAAATCTCGCCTTACCTCCTTACAGAGATTTTCAAGATCGGCTCCAGAAAACAGATTAGCTCGGGCTGCTATGTCTTCTAAGGACACCTCAGAATCTATCGGAATTCTTTTGGTGCAGAGTCTCAAAATAGAAAGCCTTCCCTATTGCAGAAGGCAAAAGAAAGAGGCAGAGCTATTTGTGTACTTGTGTACAAATGCTGCAATCTTACGCACATTCAGAATGAAAGCACACACTCACTGTAAAGTTCAGCAGCACTGAAATGCAATTGTGGATTAAACTTCCTGCATGTTAGTCAAATCAGGAACCAGGCAGAAGAGCACTTAAAACTGTATTTTTATTTTTCACACACGTACACCGATGACAGGAGAAAGGCCGAAACATGGCTCGAAGTAGCCTTGAGAATTTGACCTTACTTAGGAATAAGACCTTAATGGGACTTTCTCCTCAGTAAACATACCTCGCATTTGGAAGCATGACCGCAATATTGTATAATTACTTTAGAGTATGTCCTAGGAAAGCAAATTAGGAGGTTTACAAAGATAAAATAAACCTCTGTCATACCCCCTCATGTTGCTTAGTATCTGCCTTCACGATGACCTGAATATCTGTTGACACAATCTTTCTCCAACTACTGTGTAGCAAAGATACTTGGCACCCCAGCCCTGTGCAATCCTAGTGCATTGCAAAGGATTCTAGATATATCCGTTATAACATTCTTAGTTAAGCTATGGCAATGGTTAGGCCTGCAGGGCCGGATTTTAGATCAGTCTCAACCTTTTCCGTAACTGATGAACAAGCTGCAGTTCAAGGAAATCTGCATGTCTTCCATTACGGATACTCCTGATAACTTTCTGAAGATTTCCAAGGTTCCTGGGAACACAGCTTCAATGCCGCTGTTCAGTTCAAAGTTGTAATTTTATCAAACATTCAGAACAAACAGTTACCAAATGACACACATGCTATAAGTAATATACCTTTCTTTGTCTACCACCCTCTGCTTGGAATCGTATACTCCTTCGGTTCAGTCATGTATGAGTTTTATACTGTACCTTCTGATCAGGAGGAGGAACATAGATAATCTTGTCCAACCGCCCAGGACGCAACAAGGCATCATCCAGCATGTCCGGTCTATTTGTTGCAGCCACAACCACAACATCTTTGTTGAAAACCTCCTGAAGTTCCAGCTAGTAAGAAGGGACACATTTAAAATGATGAAATAAATAGCCATTCATGCATTCCATTCAGATCCTGCATATTTCCCAAAGTTGCACCTGATTCTTTATAGTACATAAAAGAAAAAAACCAGCCATGTAAGGTGCAACTACTTATCCCATTCTGCCCAGTGTAATAAAACGATACACATTGCAGAAAAAGCAACGTTTCTGAATCCAGGATTTATTACAGTCACACACACACACACCCCACGTAGCTAATGAATAGTACAACTTAACACAGTGTTTATAACATAACTGAAAGCCTTGGGTCCCAGCTGCCCTGTAGGTAAGCCTATAAATGTTTAAAATAAAAATAAATAAGCAAGAAAACAAATTCGCACAAGGAACAGGTTTTAAAACCATTTGTCTGGAACATTCTTTTTTTCTGGAACATTCTCTTGTTTATATTGCAAATTTCATTTGTCAACTGAAAGGTAAGGGAAAACTGTGCTCAGGAAAAAATAAAATGTGCAAGGAAGTTAACACTGGCAGAATAAAACTGTTAGTATCACATATAGCAGACAGGAGACAGCAGGAGACAAATTTACTGCTCTTTCAAATTACTGCGTCTGAGTTCGGCCTTGTCCTTCTGCTGCCGTGCTAACCTGCCTCCATACTACAACAGCAGAGACACCAGTGTTTACACACAAGTGCTGGAGAAACCAAGGATTGCTATTGTGAGAGGGTTCCAGCAACATCTGAAGGGCCATGAGAACAGTTCTGTTTGCTAACCCCATCCAATGCACAGTTACTCCAATCCAAGCTCATTGACTTCAGTGGGCTGAGAATAGAGTACCTTTGCATAGGATCACACTGCTTATTTTTAAAGAAGGTCCACATAGCCATGGTTTGTTCCCTTGGCTCAGATCCCAAAAGTGCGTGGGGAGGGGGGAATGTTAAGCTAAGTAATCTGCATACAGAGACAAGCAAGATTTGTTTATCATTTTGCAAACACAGAGGCTGGGAAACTAACCACTGGACTCAAACTTTGTTCTATAGCTTTTCTATAGTTTGCTTGATGCTAACGTAATGTTTAGCCATGGTTAAAGCAAACCTGGTTTAAAAAACTACAGCCATGAATTCATAAACCACGGTTAGTGTAATAATTAAGCATGGAATTTAGAAAGAAACTGAAACAGCTAAATATGAACAGTAGAGTCGGAAGCAGGGTTATATTCTAAGACCACGGGAGTCAATGGGTTCAGAAGGGTATAACTCTGCTGGAGGCAGGGCCAGCCTTGTTACACTGAAGACGCTTTAGTAGCTTTTTGGGACTGTAGGTTCTGCTTATGCCACAGCTGCTTCAGCACTAGGGAACAATAAGTTGCTCCTCTACAGAGGGAAATGATTTTTTAAAAGTAGCCATTTCTACACGCTCACACACAGAGTTACCTTTTTATCATTTTTAATCTGTTCTTGACAGTCAGCATCCAACTCTGCTTTATTTCCTCTTCTCTCGGTGACCTTAAGTCCGATGCCATCCAATTCAGTGAGGAGGACAGAAAGAACTCTCTCCTGGACACCGTGCCCCGTTTTACCAACAGATCGGGAACCCAGGATAGAATCAATTTCATCCAGAAACACTATTGCTGGAGTATTAGCTCTTGCTTGGCGAAAGACCTTCAGGCAGGTTAGAAAATGAGATAAAAATGAAGGACATTTTGTATATCTAAATTAATCTAAGTTAACATTGCTTGACTGAAATTATGATTTACAGAGAATGAGATAATGGCTGGATTCAGACATATCATTAAACCATCATTCAGTACAATAAAGCAAAACATTAACCCTTCACTACCTGAAAGAGCTTTTACGGATCCTAGGGTTCACTAGACCCCTCCTCCACCTTTTCTTCTCTGCTCATCCACTATTAGTCAATTTCAGCAAAAGGTAATTTGATGTAACATCTAAACTGGCACTCTCTGATCTGTTCTGGTCCTGCAAATCAGGATTCTAATCAATGGTTTGTTCCCTATTTGGAATCCTGGTTTGAAGGGCTAGTGGAAACCACTGCTTGCTACTACTGACGCCACAGCAAGCAAAACTTGGAAACTACTTAGAAGATTATAGCTCATAGGGATCGGATTTGGCTATGGGCTGGCATGCGTACTTATGGTATGGTAAAGACAAAATTCATTCACATTTTCATACACACATAACTAGAAGTGCACTTATAAAGGTCTGGAACGTAGTAAAAATAATAACTATAAGAAAATACCAATGTGGATCTCTCCCATAGAAGCTTTTGCTAAACCATCAATAGTACTAAGAAAAATAAAAGTGATTTATGGTAACTTACTAACCAAAGAAACCAAATTAAAATCAGATGAGGTACTATTAAAACAAAAAATAGAGCTGTCTTGGTGGGAAAAGAATATATTAAAATCAAGATATACTGAAGATAAGAAAATAGGTTTTTACACTAGTCAAACCGAACTAGAGAAAATATGGCTTTCAATAAGCGACAAATGAATTCAGAAGATTTATAAAAAATTGCTAGAAGACTCCTTAAAAGAAAAGGTTATAAAAACATCCATGTCAGCTTGGATGAAAGAGATCGGGCATACAATAGAAATGAATTATTGGTCAAAAACATGGAAAACACTAAAATATATGAGAGCGACGCCATACAAGGAAAACATATACAAAATGTGTTATAGGTGGCATTGGACTCCAGAAGAAATCGCAAAATGTTTTCCGAGGACATCAAACCTTTGTTGGAGATGTAGGAAAAATATAGGATCATAACTCCACATATGGTGGAGATGTGATAAAATCCAGAATTTCTGGAAAAAAATCTACAAAATATTCCTAGAAATATTAAAAATTAATATTCCGTTAATACCAGAAACATATCTACTCAATATGGTACCGGACACAATAAACGATCATAATCATATAATTATGTACATTTTGACAGCAGCTAGAATATTAATAGCAAAACGATGGAAAACAAAAAATATACCAACCATAAAAGAACTTAAGTATGAAATTCTAGAAGTAGCAGAAATGGACAAATTAAATATAACACTACAAAATAAAACGGAGGAGCTCTTCTGGGATAGATGGGAAATAATCTATGACTGGCTGAAGATGAAGAAATTAGAATAGAACTCTAACGAAGCTAGTTAAAGACCGAGATTGTTAAAGATCTCAGATGAACGTTTTTGACATGAAATGTATAAGATGGAAATGAATATGTTATGGTGAAAAATTGAAAATAAATCTATATTAAAAAAAGAAGAAGATTATAGCTCATGAGCAGAGAGGAGAGAGCTCACACATGCAAGCCCCTCGCAGGATTGTTTGTAGCTCCAAAATATGGTTTGGTGTCACTTCTGAACCTACAGTTTTTACAAATGGAAGTGTAGGAATGACCATATAGATGTTTTACCACGGATTAAGAGCATGGAAATCAAACCTGGGACAAAATCTTCTCTGAGTCGCCAACATAAGATGAGAAAAGATCAGCACCGCTCACGGACAGAAAGGAGCAGTGGCAGCTCGTGGCGGCTGCTTTCACAAGGGTCGTTTTGGCACAACCCGACGGTCCATATAAAAGGATACCCTTTGGGCGGGCCAGCCCCATCCTAACGAAAGCCTCAGGGAATTTTATTGGCCATTCAATGCTCTGTAAAAAAAGAAGAAGTGGAAACTCCCATCAATTTCTCATGCTGCTATGCTGTACAGGCCAACACACCTTTGAGCCTTCGTATTGGTGACTGGCCTCTGCCTCACAGGTACACATGGGCCCAGAAGAACTGCAGTCTTGCTTGCATTTCTTCCCAGTCCTAAGCAACTTGTAAACCTGTAAACTTCTTTGTAAACATGGGAGAATATTTTTAAGTACATAAACTTAGTGTATAGTTTTCCTCCCCAGATGCTACAGGATGGTAGCTAATATTGTTGAACATCCAGCATTCAGACAGGTGAATATATTTTTTTCCTGTCAAGTCACAGCTGACTTCTGGTGACCCAATGGCGTTTTCGAGGCCAGAGAAATTCAGAGGTGGTTTACCTCCCTCCATGTCACAACGCTGTTCTTTGGAGGTCTCCCATCCAAATACTGACCAGGTCTGACCCTGGTTGGCTTCCGAGATCTGATGAAATCGGAACAGCCTGCGCTATCCAGGTCAGAGCGGATAATACATATTAGCACTACTAATAAAAATGATTACATTTTTAAAACTAGTAGCTTATCTGTACTGTACTTGTAAGATATTCAACAATATTACCTTGTATATCACATTCCCAGTTTGACCTGTACAGTACCTTCAACCCTCCCAGCAGTTATTTTATGTCTTTCCCCTGCCTAAGGCTATGAGATGGACCTCAGCCCAGTTACAGAGGCATTATTCCTATAGAACATGGGCTCCCGCCCTGGCAAATTTTAGAAAATGCTGTTAAGAAATGCTGTTCAGAGAGATATTGGGGAGAGGCTACTTTGGGGTTGTCTCCTTGTTGCTTGTCCAGGTGTTGTTGGGATTAATCCTTGCAATGTTTTTTAAATTGACAATCATTCATAGTAATTCTTGCATTTACACAGCTCTTAGAATGTTCAAAATTCTTCAGAAACAGTATCCTCAATACTTATTAAAGCAACTCTGCAAGATTGGGACTTGGGAAGGAATGGAGTGAGCGAGAGCAGCTTACCCTACTTTAAAAAAAAAGATTTTCAAAACCAAACAGCATTGGAACTGTACTGAATATCAGTTAGGAAGTCAATATCCAGTGCAAGTGAATTTAGAAAGGAGAGGCGCAGGGAGGTCTGGGTTCAACTCCCTGCTTGTGCGTGGCTTTAGCCGGGTGAAACAGTATAGAGCATTTGCCAGCCAGAACTCTAGCCAGATAAAATAAGGACTGGGTTGCTACTACCTAAATAAATAGTGTTTATGGAGAGCATAGCCAGTAAAATCCAGGAGGCTTTTTTGTACCTACAGAGGATTGGCTTGCTCCCAAAATAAACACTTATTATGGAACCAGAAGTAAGTTTTCTAAAAGTTAAATTATTACAAAAACTAAATTATTATAAGTTTAACATAACTATTTTCCATGCAGCTTCATGTGGATTTTTATTGATTATGGTTTATTCCAGGATAGTATGAAGGAAATGAAGAATTTACAATACTGAGCTGGATTAAGAAGCTGACACCTCCTTTAAATATAGGATTACATCTGAGGAAGACTGTAAAGTTGAAATGAGTTCACAACCGGGTACTCATTATGTGGGACTATGTGGACTTTTTTACAATATTGTATAAGTGAGAATGTTGGACAGATTGTTGCAATTTTGTAAAGTTTTGAAAAGCAATGTAAATCTTATAAATGTTGTTCGTATCACAGGGTTTGCTTGTGTGTTGTTTTTCCTGTGGATATCTGTGATCCCTTTTGTTTTATGCTGTGCATGGCATCCATCAGGTGTCTTGGAGCATGACTGTACATGTGAAATACACAGTTTACAGGCATGAAGGCACAATTTCAGAGTAAAAGAAGTGGTTACTCTTTAAGAGCCTGCTGTGTACTCTACCTGCTTTAACTTTAGCTTCACATCTTCGAGGCCCCCAATTTGATCCCAGGTGACAGGCTTGAAATCCGACAGCCCAATGCTGTTTCGAAAAGATGATGGCTGAATCTTTTTCAGTGCTTCATAGAAGTCCGACATGTTGACTGCACTAATTGATTCCTGAAGAAATACAAAAAGAACAAACATTTTAGCATTTATTTCCCAGTTTGACCTGTACAGTACCTTCAACCCTCCCAGCAGTTATTTTAAAAAAGTGTTGTCTTGTTGCAATCCTTACAACAGCCCTTAGAGGAAGAAGCATACTATTATTCCGCATAACAGTAGGTGAAAGGCAGCAAGGCAGAGAGAGTGCCTTGGCTAAGGACATTTAAGGAGTGGGGCAGAGATGAGATTTGAATCAGGGACATCCTAGATAACTGCTCATTTTCTTAGAAGCCTGCTCACTTGTGAGCAGCCAAATCACTCAACAATCTATCCATGCATCTGGATCCTCAAATTACTAACTCTTACATGGTGATTCTACAAAGTGCTGTAGCACATGCTAGTGCATTGGCACAATTCCAAAAAAGGTGTGATGTTGCACTGGCACAAGGACATTCAACACACTGATAACTGATGAAGCACAGGGGTCACTGGGTGTGTGTGTGTGGGGGGAGGTATTTGTGAATTTCCTGCATTGTGCAGGGGTTGGACTAGATGGCCCTGGAGTTCCCTTCCAACTCTTTGATTCTACGGTTCTACCTGAGTATTTAACTCAAGACAAAACAGGTTTGGCAGACAAAGAAGAAAACACAGGTAACAGGCTTAGGGCCGCTGTCTGAAATGGGATTCATACCGAACAAGCACGAATCACAGCCTGCATGGCAGCTTCTCTGCAGAGGGCTGTGAGGTCAGCTCCAACATAACCTGTTGTTATTTCTGCAAGCTCATGCAAATTGACGTCGCTGGACACAGGCATGCTAGCAGTAATCAGCTGCAGAATGGATTTCCTCTGTGAAATGGTTGGTGTCCCAATGATAATCTGAAAGCAACCAAAAGAGAAGGGGGGGGGGAAACACCCAGAAACATGTTGCTATCATTTTATTCCTTGATTGAACCCTGGGCAAGTCAGAGCTTAAGCTACTTGTAACAAAACCTGATGCCTTCCTCCAGCCTAAGGGATCTTCTCCCAATGGAAACATCTCCTCCTCCAGAGGAAGGCCATTGTTCCTTGCCTCTCCCTGATGTTTATCAGATGAAAACATAAGGGCATTGCCAATTAACTATCACTATCTTGTTTTCCTTCTTACAATGGCATATCGTTGTCTACACTATACATTTAAACCAAGTTCAAACTCACTTACCTGTAAAGTGAATGCCAACATTGCAACTCATCACTTAGAGGAGGGCAGGAAGCTGTTCCTATTGGCAGCAGAGGACAGGACCCACATGAATGGGTTTAAATTAAGGGTGGGAAGGTACTGGCTGGATATTAGGAAAACCTTTTTTACAGTGAGAGTTGTACAACAGTGGAATCAGCTGCCTAGGGAGGTGGTGAGCTCCCCCTCCCTGGCAGTCTTTAAGCAGCAGCTGGACAAACACTTGTCGGGGATGCTCTCGGCTGATCCTGCATTGAACAGGGGGTTGGACTAGATGGCCTTTATGGCTCTTTCCAGCTCTGTGATTCTATGATTCTAACTCTGTTTCTGAGAAAGGATGAGGTAACAAAGAATTTTCTTTCAATAACTACAGCTCTTACAGTCCTTTGAGAGAATCTACTACGCTGACTGAGACCAGCAGGAGGTGTCCCCAGGTCTCTAGTGGATCATACTCTTCCTCGCTTCCTCCCAAGTAAAACACCAAATGGAAACCACACATTCAGAAATGAGATATAACCACCTCACGGTCAATTCTGCCGGGCCTTCTCAGTGCAGGATCTAGAGCATCAGGCCTGTTTGTTGCTGCTATGATCACCATCTTGTTTCTTCCATCAGTCCCATCAATAAGAGTTAGCAACTGAGCCACTAGACGATTTTCCGGAGCATTATTTGAACTTTCTCGTTTAGGGCACAAGGAGTCAATCTCATCGATAAACAGGACCGTTGGTCCTTCATTGGACATTTCTCTGGCTTGCTCAAATGCACGTCGCAGGTTCTCCTCACTTTCTCCAGGTCTTGGACCGTACACAACAGGGCCGTTAATGCAAAGAAGACAAGCACCCACCTCTTTAGTGACTGCTTTGACAAAAATAGTCTTGCCCACACCTGGAGGCCCTACCAGAAGCACTCCTCTTGGAACAGAAAGGCCTAGTTTCTGGAGGGTTTTTGGAAAGTGTAAAGGCAAGTCAATCATCTCTTTCAACGACCTTCTGACATCCTCCATGCCAGCCACTAGTGTTTTTCCACTGTCTTCTACCAAAAGGTTATACCAGTCTAGTGTGACCACCTCTTTAACAAAGACATTGGTTCTGGGGGTTACTAAACCAGCTTCTTCTGTGGCAGGCTCCATAGACAGTATTTCAATGCATGCCACTAGATTACCCAGAATTGGCCTGAATGTAACAACGTGACAAAGGGAAACGTAAGCATTTCGCAATACCTCTTTGGCCAATTCCTGCAGCATGGCTTCCGACATGCATTTTTTCATGGCACGGTTCCTAAGGACCACCTTGACTGTCAGTTTTCTTAGTCTGTGACATTCCAGGACTTGCAAATGGTCAGTGCTCAGAGTGAGATTCCGTAAATGGTCCACCTTGACAGTGCGAGTTCTACACTTGAGGTCCAGTTGCAAGTAGCCATCGGCCAAGTCATGACGAGGCCAGGCTGTACACAGGCAAATGCCAGTGGGCAGGGTGATCCTAACTGGGGAGCCTAGTCTGGCACCCAGGGAGGAGAAAGCGGCAGGCCCCAATCTGCACCTCTGTGTGCCTTCATCTCCTGGATCCAGCGGGAGCACTTTTAATAAAGCCATCTTCAAAAGCTGGGCACAGATTTGTGCAAAACACACCTGTGGGCATGTCCCTGAAAAATATATAAGAAAAGAAAAAAGAACTATCAGCTCTATGAAATGAAAACATTGACAGGAATCCCTTTTCACTAGGGGCTGGATAAGCATAGTTTTTGATAGTGGTGTGGATTCATATTGAGATATATTCTGGACTGTTGCAAAACAGCAGTGTGATTTCTGAGAAGTTACTTTATCTAGGAATGACTGAACCATGGGATGGGAAAAGCTGAAGGCCACAGGAAAAGAAGATAAGGGTCACTGTGTGTGTGTGTGTGTGTGATACTTGTGCATTTCCTGCATTGTGCAGGGGGTTGGACTAGATGACCCTGGAGGTCCCTTCCACACTTCTTTAGTGACTAAGGGGAGGGGAGACTGGGTTCAACCCTGAAGTCTACCGGAACTTACTCCATATATTATGTAAAGACTCTGCCTGGGCATCTACAGAGTGCCCTTCCCACACCGCTGACAACTGCAAGTCCCCAGATTGTGTGTGTGTGTGTGTGTGTGTGTTGGGGAGGGGATAAGAATCTGAGCCAGTATGTCTCAAAATGGAAAAGCACGCGTGGTGCCCTACCTTCCCAAAACGACACCTCAGACTCCTGAATGCAAACGACTCAGTGAGACACGTGAACTACAGATGCCAACAGCAACGTTGCACATCGGACGCAAAATACAAGGACAAGCAGCCCCACCATCCCTCCCCTTCCACCACCGTCTCCTCACTGCCTCTCAGACCCCCCTCGTTCTTCTCCAAGTTCCATCGGTGCATCGGGAGTCGGTAAGGCTGTGAAATCAGGTTTTGAAGAAACCCACAAAACGTGTTCCTCCAAAAGAACAGCCGGGCAGAATAGCAATGCACCAATTGGCTAGAGTCCTTGCCAATCAATCCTAGAGGGGCACGCACAGACTCTGATTGGTCGGGTTTCCCCTGTGTAATCATAGGCGACGGTGTACCGTAGGCAGTACACCCCGTCACTCAATCAGAGAAACCGGGAAGGGACAAGGAAAGAGGCTTCTGATTGGGCAGCCGCTGAGGGATCGGTGGAGCTTAGTTGCCAAGAGGAGACATGAAATTAGAAAGGGACAAGAGGCACCGGCAAGGGCTTGTGGGAGGCGTCTCATTCCCCCCTCCCCCACTATTTCCTCTTAACGTTTCCTGGAAGCCCCCGTAGCCTCTCCAGGTTGGGAAATTACTGGAAATTTGGGGGTGGAGACTTGAGAGGCCAGGTTTGGGGAGGGAAATGAGTAGGGTTGCCAGCCTCCAGCTGGGGCCTGGGGTTCTCCCGTTTTTACAACTGATCCCCTGGAGAAAATGGCTGCTTTGAAGGGTGGACTCTTATGGCATGGTGCCATGCTGCGGTCTCTCCCCCCTCCCCAACCCCCCCTCCCGGATCCACCGCCAAAATCAACAGATATTTTCCAACCCAGACCTGGCAACCCTAGAAGTGACTTCAGCAGGGTGTAATGGCATACAGTCTATGCTCTAAAGCAGCCGTTTTCTCCAGGGGGATTGATCTCTGTCATCTGGAGATCAGTTGTAATTCTACGTGATCTCCAGCCCCCACCTGGAGGCTGGTAACCCTAGGTCTCATGGCTTGCTTTGGAGGGTGGAGTCAAGAGCATTATAATCTTCTGAGGTCCCTCCGCAGGATCCACCCACCAAATATTCAGGTATCGAGTGGTATCAAATTGCCCTGAGGTGGTTGTTTCTTTGAGAAATTAAATGTTTTTGATCATTTTGTAGGAGAATTTAAGCTGTTAATATTGATGGAGACAATCTTCAGACCTTCCATTTTGTTAAATGCTGCAGCTTGATCTAGTGCTTACAGACATTTTCATCAGACAGGGCCCACTGACACTCTTGGTCCTCAGAATGGTGGCTGTAGCCACCAACCGAAAACTGCCAACTTCCTCTTCTGAATGTTTTGTCTCCCTGTGCTTCAACTTGAGGCACTGTTAATTTAGAGAGTTCTTTCCATAACTGTTTAATTTGTTTCATTTGGTCCTTCTCAGGCACCTCATAGCATCTCAGGCATCTCATGTCTATTTTCCTTCCTGTCATAGAATCACAGAGTATGGCCCCCTTCCAACTCGGTGATTCTGTTTTTCAAAATGTCTATCCTTTGCTGAAAACTTCTCAATTGATGTGTCTTTTATATAGTCCTCTATTTCTTCTTCTGTTAATCATTCTTTTTTGTAAAGCTCAGAAAAGAGTAAATTGATCTTAAATTTCTTTCTCCACAAAGGTAATTTCATCTTTTCCCCTCACTCCTCATATCATTCTTCATCCAGTTTCTTTTCTTTCTTTCTTTTTTGAGCCCCTGAAGGGGATTTTTTAATTATTTTTATAAGACTACAAAACTACTACAGAAAAAAGGGAGGGGGAACTACATTTATAGGATAAAGCAAAGAAACCCACTACTAACTAAAATCCCAAGAGAGGAGATCCTCACTAGCTTAGTTACAACAAATCTTCATTTCATTTAGGTCATTATAAGCTGAGTCAAACATTTATAATACTTTTTTTTCTTTTTTTTAACTCTTAAATTTAACTGTCTAATAACAGTACCCCCAATCATCCCATTCAGAATTCACAAAGGCACAATTCAGAGTCCTTCAGCCTTCACTTCTCCATTCCTCGTCTCTTCCGCAGCTTATAAGGACTTTTTGGAGCAGCTTCCCCTTGCTCTGTCAGAGAGTCCTCCCCGGAAGAACCCGAGTCCAGCTCGCCACTAGACTTGCTGTCCTCTTCTTTTTTCCCGTCCTCTGGTCTTCCCAGCTGAGCCCTTAGGAATTCTTGAGCTTTCAGAACAGAGTCAATATTTTCTTTTTTGTCTTTAATCTTGAAAGTGACGCCTTCTGGAAATAACCATTTATATCCAATTGAATTTGTCTGAAGAAAAAGCACAAGTTCTTTATACTTCTTTCTCCGTTGCCTTACTTCAAATGGAATATCCTTTAGCGTTCTAATGGTATTTCCCCCCACTTTCAGGGGTGTTCCAGCGACTGCTTTCAGGATTGCATCCCTCACATGCCTCTTCGAGAATCTTACGACAATTTCCCCAGGCAGATTATTTTTCTTTCTATAGCCTGAATATGATCTGTAGACCACATCCATATCGCTCAGTAACGACTCCGCCTTCATCTCTGTCACTGGGGCCAGTAATTCACTCATCACTTCTTTAAGATTCTCCCCCCTGTTCTCTGGCATGCCCTGGAAGCGAAGAATCATGTTAGCCTTTTCCATTTGGACTTACAACAATTGATCTTCCATGGAGGTTTGTTTCTTTTCCAGCTTTTGCAGTTTTTTCTTCATCTTCTGGGTACTTCCTTTACCTTCTCAGAATCTTGCTTCATTATTTGCAGCATATTGTTTATCTGAGTTTGTTGAGTAGTAATACTTTGAGTCACTATGTAAGTACTTCTAGGCAGTTTCCTTCGTGTTTTCTTCCGCCCCCCCCTCAATCGCTCAAAAGTTAATGCGCATGGGAGGCTCCCCCCCCCCGCTCGCCTTTTTCCCGTTCGGTGGGGTGGGGTGGGGTGGGGAGCTATCTTTTTCCCTTTAAAAACGCTTCACAACTGACTCACGTTCATAATCGGTCGTTCGACCTCGCTTTCAGCTTTCATTTCTGCCGCTCAATCTCCTACGCTTGCCCTGGTCAGCGTCACTAAGTCCATTCGGTCTCGCAGCACGGAGAACCGTCGGAACGAAGAGGCGCCTCAATTCTCCGGCATTTTGCCATCGAAGACGCAACCTCTTATAAGTTCCATGGCCAGGGCCCCTTCGCCGGGTCCCTGGGGGGGTAAGCGAGCCTGCGCACCCCCTCCTTCGGCTGGAGCGCAGCTTCACCCCCGGGAGGTCTGGGAGGTGAGTCTGCTAGCGCGCCGTCATCAACCGGAAGCAGTTTCTTTTCTTTTCTTGAACAGTATGTTGCCCAGAGGCACTGCCTTACTCAAGGGTAGCCCCAACATCCCACGGCCCACAAACTCAGGCCAAGGAAGGCATTCTTGCTTCTGAAACACAGAGCTAGCCCCTGGGAAGCTTTGCAGCAACAGGACTTGTGTTTAGAAGAGGTACCCTCCTGAAACTGTCTATAACCAACAGCAACAGTGCCATCTCCTGTTCCTATTTGGGAATTACACATCAGTAGTTCACCCATCAATGGTAAAGTATTTAGTTCTGTACAATTTATTTACTTGCTTACTTCATTATAGCCTCATGAAAATTTAAGGCAAATTTTTTAAATAGAAAGACCATTCCAATTATCTGGAAAGGATGCAGAAAGCAGTAAAACCATTTGCAATATGTGATCAGCAACATAACTTGTAAGCAGGAATTGGGTTGGACAAGATTTAGGAGGAAAGTTAATAGCAGCATCTTTACTGGAAGTGGAAATGTTTCTGCATCCATTAGAACAAAAGAGAGTTTTGGATACTTCACAGATATGAAGAACAGTTTCAATCTCAGTTTCTATTAAAGATAATTTTGAATTTCTCATCTCTGTTTTTTTCCACTTGAAGATTCCCATCTTAGTTTTGCTTCTTGTTCATGTGAATGAAATGCATGGTGATTGTCATGGTATCTTCTGTTTTCTTGCACTGACCTTCTCCCCCCAAAAAACTACACATTTTCAACATTTGTCCACTGATAAATTAGCATCACTCATTTAAATGATGTACACTGGACTGCACCATGGTGTCAACTACTTAACTTGGAAGGCCCAGTGCTACTAAATCCGCCAGTTCAATCTCTGAGCTGTCAGCTGGAGTCAAATAGGGTCCAGCTGGCAAGTGGATTCTTGTACAAGGAGAAGCCATCACTTGGCAATCTCCACGGTGGAGACACTGACATCATCACTAGCTTTGAGACCCAAAAACTTCTGTGCCAGAGAGGAGATATCACCTCCCTTGTTTCCTTTGACACTTTGTCCAGGCCTCAGCTGATCATGTGATTGGTGGAAAAACATACAGTAGACCACTGCATCAACAAGTGCGTGTGCCCTTGCCCTCTGCCCTGGAATCATAGAAAGTGATTAGAAACCTGACAATTTGGTTATAGTTTGATGTTGCAAAAGGATCCAAGATAGGGCTCCTGAAACAAAGTGTGATTTTGCTAGATCTTTTTGTGTAGACTCCATTCTCCTGGATCTACCTCCTTCCTTCTCAGCCAGTTGGCTTGGAGACCGTATAGGTGTTCCCCTTTTAGACCTACCATTTCTCCCTCTGCCCAAACGAACAGGATTTTGGACTCACGGAGGAGCATCATCAATCTGGTGCCTCCTTGCCAACTGCTGTGCGTCTTGGCCATAGTATTGACTGTGCGCCCTAGCACATACTTCTTCCTCGATAGGATTTGAAAAGCGCACAGTGCTAGTCTGACTGCCACAAGTTCCAGACAGTCCACACTGTTCATATCCTCCAACAGGCTCCATCTGCGTTGGACAATCTGATTCTTACATTGTGTTCCCCGGCGCTACTGCTTGGTGGCCATAACTGCCATCAGGTAAGGAGGCTGGAGGAAACTGACATCTGTGCACCCTTTTGTATGTTTGTGTCCATTGTAAAGAGACCATTGTAAAGGCCTGGCATGGAAGCAGGCCCAAGGAATCAGATCTATGGACTAGTACGTCCTCAGTCCCAGTACTGCCAACCAGTACATGAGGTCCACCGACATTTGCC